ACAGGCCTCAATCCACTCTACAAAGGATTTGACATTATACAGGCCTCGATCCACTCTACAAAGGATTTGACATTATACAGTCCTCAATCCTCTCTATAATGGGTAATCCACTCTACAATAGATGCTTTTGGGGTGGGTTGAATTCACTTGTCAGGGGATTGGAGACTGAGGAGTAACCCGAATTGGAAAGGAGTTAAGCTGGTAAGAGGAAGTGGAAAAGCTGCAAAGGAGGCTCGAAGACAGGAGAACCAAAGTTGAGCATTGAGTATACCTCGAATGTGGAATGATGTCAAAAAGTCAACGTTAAGAGTAAAAACCAAAAGAACTGCGGATGTTGTAAATCAGAAACAAAAACAGAAATTGCTGGAAATACTCAGCAGGTTTGGCAGCATCTGTGAAGAGAAATCAAAGTTAGAATTTCAGGTCGAGTGACCCTTCCTTAGAACTTTCTCACAACGTTAAAGGTACTCCATCTCAATGCAGGCAGCATTAACAACATGTCCAATGATCTAAATGCACAAATAGAGGGCAGTATTTGTGATATAATTGCCTTTATAAAAATATGATTGCATGGTGACCAGAACTTGGAACTGAACATACAATGGTATTCAATGTTTAGGAGGGATAGACAAGATGGAAAAGGAGGTCGAGTTATACCGATAGGAGAAACAGTCATTAAAAAAAATACTGTGGATTCGGGAAATCAGAAACAAAAACAGAAATTGCTAAGAACACAGCAGATCCGGCAGCATCTGTGGAACTGAAACGTTAACTCTGCTTTCTCTCCACAGATGCTGCCAGACTTGCTGAGTTTTTCCAACAATTTCTGTTTTTGTTGTTGTTGAAAGAGACCCGTTAAATTTATTGATAGGCAACCAAATACTTGTGATGGTGTTGTGTTAAATCAGGACATGAGAGAAACCTACAGCATGTGCAATACATTTATTGTGAGGGACTTCAATAAAAATAAAATACTGTGGATGCTGGAAATATGAAATAAAAACAGAATGCTGGAGAAACTCAACAGGTCTGAGTGCATTTGTGGGAGAGGGAAACAGATTTAATGTTTCAGGTCCAGTATGATTCTTCTTATGAAATGAAAAATATGAAAATGGACTGCAAAATCTTCTCCAGGTACATAAAAAGGAAACTTTTGACTAAGACAAATGTGGATCCATTAAAAACAGGTTCAGAAAGAATTTATAATGGGGAATAGAGAAATGGCAGAAAAGCGAAATGACTACTTTCAACGTAGTCTTATAGGGGCCTGAATGACGAAGGCTATGACAAAATATGTGGTGGACTGGCATGAGTAGTCCCCTAAAGCCTATCTTCACTTAGGCAGCAGCTTGCTGTAGATCTTATTCGTTGGGGTTATAATTGGCATAAAATGTGGTTGCAATCACGTGGGGCAGGACAGATAGCTAAGGAAGTGGGTTTGGGAGGATACGGAAGAAAACACATTGAATCTTGTGGAGAAAAACCCTCCAAAATACTCTACTGCGGCTTAGACTGAGCCAAAGAAGGTAAGATTCAGCCCTTTGAGAAAGACGCAAGAAACTCCCAGAACTATACATTCAAGTGGCGAGGGAGAAGCGATGCTGATTGAACCTAACATTAGCGAGCAGCGTGTACTAGAGAAACTAATAGGGTTGAAAGTTAATAAGTCCCTGGGACCTGGTACTACACCTCAGAGTGTTGAATGAGGTGGTTATAGAGATAATTGATGAATTTGTGATTATCTTCTCTAGATTGTGAAAAGATTCCTGCAGATTGGAAGCTTGCTAACGTCACTCCACTGATGTTGACTATTTTGTGATAATAATCAAAATGGCAAATGGAACTCTAGCCTCTGTACCTAAATATCTAGACTAGAAAAAGGGTAGAATCCATCCCAGTTATATAATGAATTGGTTAGACCACAGCTGGAGACAGTCAGAAGTTATGACACTACTTTATATAGAATGTATTGGACTTGATGAGGAGAGCTAAGTAGATTGCAATGAGTAGAAATTACACAAACTAGTGGTAGTTTCTGAAGGCGAACAGTTTAAGGTATGTTTAGTTGAGTTTCTCCAGGTATTAAGGGGAACAGAGAGGTTTAGATTCGATGAAGCAATAGTTGGGGAGTTGACGATGAGGAAGTGTAGACAAAAAAGCTCAGAGGAAAGATGAAGAATGAATGAATGAATATTGCTGAGAAAAGAGATGTGCCATTGAAGATTTTCATTTTGTACTCATCAGGATACAATCGCAAGAGAGCCAAATCCCAAAAGGAGCAACAATTTGCACGGCATCAGAAAAGATTGGTTGGCTCATCAAGATAGACTCTAATTGGTTGAGGCATTGCCATTGAGAATGCACCAGGGAACGACTGTCCCCAATGCATCTGAGGGGATGATGCTTCTAGGTGGCTAAATTAGGAGGGCAAACTGAGCTGGTGTGCCCTCGAGTTTCAATAATTGAGGGGCAATCTAATCATTCTTTAAAATGAGAAAGCAGGTTTGATAGGTTCTGTGTAAAGAAAATGTTTCTTCTGGTGGGAGTTCAGAATTACAGCTGCTAACGTTCACATTTGGAGTCAGGCCATTCATGAGGGAAACCAGTAAGCATTATAAAGAGCTTGTCTTTTTGACTATGGAGTGAAATGGGAAAATGACTTTTTGAGAAAAGGTTGTTGAAGGGCTTGATACTCAGTGGTTTGTACACAGGATCTAATTCAATGTGTTTGTTCATGGGGATCCAGTTGGAATACCAGGCCTTCAGCCAAATATAATAGCAGCCAAACAGAGACACACCAGGGAATTCCTGGAGGCCTGGTATTCCAACTGGAACTCCATCCACAAACACATTGAATTAGACACTGTGTACAAACCACTGAGAAACAGAACTGAAAGTAATATCAACCGTCCCAGCAAACCGAGACATATAAATAACTAGCGGGACATAACACCAACGCTTCACCGGAGGCACACTGACGATGTTACCTAGCAGGGTGATGAAACATTTGCAACCAAACCCACCAGCTCAGCGAGCATGTCTACAACCTCATGAACAACCAGAGCTACAAATCTTCTGAAAAATTTTAAGTGGACTGCTCTGTGGAGTGGTGACCAGTTGTCGATGGCAAAGGCCTCTGGCTCCCAGGTAACTGAACAGCTTGTGGCTGTGAATGAGATTCAGCGAAAGCCAGAAGCCAATGGACATATGGAAAGGAGGAAAGACACTTGAAGGTTGAAGAAAGACAGTTTATTTCCACCAGCACCCCCACCCACCCCCCCATCAGTTGCTGTAAGCTGTAACTTTTAACCAATAAGCCAGAAACCTTCTAATTTGTGACTCACGTGTTCCTGTACCGTCTGCCAAGAATGAAAACCACTTGAAGAGACAGAGAGAAATAAATATCAACAACCAGCAAGACCTGACAAACCAAAAGGATCATCTCAGGAAACCTTGTGGACAGGGACCATTGAAGTGCCTTTCCAGTCTTACCCTCCACTCAACACACCAGTTATTTTTTTAATGTGCATTGTGGGGATTTTTATCATGATTTAGCATTTTAACCAGTACAACTGTATGTCAACAGTTCACTGTTGTTTACACAGTCCGATTTATTTGTAATTATTAGTGATTTATTGTTTAGTGAAGAAACCTGGTCCATGCTTTCTGTCCACCTGGTCTTAAAAGGGAGGTAAACCAGGGAATTTTGCTCAACTCGAAAAAATCTTTTGGCGGTGACTCTGGGATAGTGGGACTATGTTACCCCAGTCAGGTGTGATAACAGCAGCAGCTTGGAGGATGGGGTCAATTAAAGTCCCAGGGACTGAGATGGTTCGATCCTGGTCAGGTCAGGGCACCTAGGGGTAAAGTGCAAAGGCAGATGGGATATGGTGTAGCATGATCGAAATAAATGGCAGAATGAGCTCAGCGGGCTGAATGGCCTCATCCCATTTCTATATACCTTTGCGAATCGTTGCTTGCCCTCTCACCTTCTGTTGCCTGTCCCTAATTGCCCTTGAGAGGGGCAAAGACAAAAATAAGGATGAAAATCATCCTAGATTAAAAATTAGCTCATTATTTTCAAAACCTTTCTATCTTCAGTCTGAGCCTTGTGAACAATGACTCTGACCAAGTTATTTTTAATCATGTGTCCATGGCAACAGGCCATATCTCTAGCCAGCTGAGGCAGAAGGCGGTTAAGGCCCAGAGATTTATGGATAGCACCACATGCAAATTAATACCAGTGAGCAACAAACAGTGGACTGTTCCAGACAAGTATACTGTGGTTTGTGTTTTGCTAGATGCACATGAATCTCCTTGGGTTTCACACTACATTTGCTGTGAAGTTCTCTCACTGACCTGTAATTCTGCTCTGAAACTCTGTGATACCCATTGAGATCTGCACCAAACCCTCACCGTCTTTGGCCCACATCTGGATTGTTATGTCACTTGAGCCTCAGGCTTAAAATCTCTCAGCAGTCTCCAGCATCTCAGTCAGTCCTCCTTCCAAATGCAAACCCTCCTTTGCTCTTATCTCTGGTTAACAACAACAACAACAACAACAACAACTGCAGCTTATGCCTGGGTGAAGGAGAGGGGTGGAGTTTATGTTTTTGTGTGTTTAACCTGACAACCAGGGACAAATCTCAGTTCAGATCCAAGATGGCAGCAGAGTAGGAATCTTCGGCCGGAGCTCACCCACTCCCTCCGTTGCTTTCTTTTTTCCTCTTTTGTGTTTCTGTCCTTCTTTCTTCTCAGAAATGTCCTGAACTCCCAGCCTCAGCACGGACTCAAACTCCCGGCCTCAGCACAGACTCAGACTCCCGGCCTCAGCCCAGACCTGGCGTGGCGATCTCTTGACTTGGCACGGTGGCCTCTCAACCCGTTGTGGCAGCCTCCCGGCCTGGCGTGGTGGTCTCTCGGCCTGGGGTGGTGGTGTCTCAGCCTGGAGTGGCCTCAGTGTGGATGATCGGCCTCAAGAGCCTCAAGGTGAAGCCTGGCACGGTCTGAAGTCAAGGCCCAGGGCGGAAAAGGGGTTAGGTGCCAGCATGGACTGGGGTGGAAAGACTGTTAGTCTGAACATTTTATTTCTTTATTTTTCAAATGTGTGATGCTGGACCTTTTATTTCTTTGTTTTTCTAATTTTTTCCCCTAAGAAATTGTACTTAAGAATCTGTACCTTAGTACCTTTGGCTCCATAAGTAGTGACCTGTAAACTTTACTCACTGAACTCATGTGAGTAATGTGACAATAAAGCTAATTCTAATTCTAAATTGTGGTCAACCTTACTGAAATGAAGAGGTGTTTCAAGTTTCAAATCAAGATCATCAACACAATCAGAAACCTCACGTTTTCTAAGCAGATTGTTCGTCCTCCTCTTTGTAATTAGGAGTGGGAACCTTGGCACAATGTTATTAATTACATTGGAAACAGAAGAGCAAGCATTTTGAATCATACAATACCTTTTTACAATTCGCTAATGGGACGTGGATGTCACCAGCTGGGCCAGCATTTATTGCCCGCCCTTAATTGCCCTTGAGAAGGTGGTGGTAAGGTGCCTTCATGTGCTGTAAATACACCTGCAATATCAACAGGGAGAGAATTCCAAGATTTTGACCCAGCAACACTAATGGGACAGCATTATATTTCCAGCTTCCTACAAATAGCTGGATTTTTAGAATTTCTTGCAACCGTTCATGGAATGTGAGCATCACTGGCTAAACCAACATTTGCACTCACTAATAGCCCAGAGGACAGTCAAGAGTTAATTCCATTGGGGTGAGTCTGGATTCAGATGCACACCAGTAGTTACCTTACCTAAAGTAAACCATGTGCTTTTACCCAACAATTGACAACAGTTTTATCATTAGACTGAGTTTTTTATTGTTGAATTTAACCATCTACCATGTTGGAATTTGAACCCAGGCCTCTAGAATATTATCTGGTCTTGGGGTTAATAGTCCAGTAGATAGGCTATCACATTTAATGCAGTGAAAATATGTTTATAGAACTAAACAAAAGCTCCAGGCATTACATTGATATACAATGCTCCATTTTTAGGCACTTAAATACTTCCATAACACCACAAGAAATAGGAAGAGGAGTGGGCCATTCGGGCCCTCAAGCCTGCTCAATAGGATCATGGCTGATCAGGCACTCCTCATGTCCCCTTTCCGGCCCATTCCCTATAACCCTTGATTCCCGATTGATCTAGAATCTATCTATCTCGACCTTAATATACACAAGGACTCTGCAACCCTCCCACAGCTCTCTGTGGCAAGGAGTTCCAAAGGCACACTACCTCCTGAGAGAAAAAAATTTCTCCCCATCTCAGTCTTAAATTCATGCTGTTTAATTCTGACCCTATTCCCTCTGGTCCCAGGCTCTCCGAGGAGGGGAAACATCCTTTCAGTATTTACCCTGTCAAGACCGTGTTTCAATGAGATCATCTCTCATTCTTCTAAACTCCAATGAGTAGAATCCCAACCTGTTTAGCCTTTGCTCATAAGGCAGTCCCTCAATACCAGTGATCATCCAGTGAACCCTCTCTGGATTTCCTACAATGGAATGATATCGTTCCTTAAATTTGGAGACCAAAACTGCTCACAGTACTCCATTGTGCTCCCACCAGCAACTTGTACAGTTACAGTAAGATTTCCCTATTCTTATGCTCCAACCCCTTTGAAACAAGGGCCAACATTCCATTCACCTTCCTGATTCCCTGCTGCCCCTGTGTGCTAGCTTTCTGTGTTTCATACACAAGTCCCTCCAAATCCGTTTGTGTTGCAGCTTCTCTGTAGCTTTCTCCATTTAAATAATATCCTGTTCTTTTTTTCTGTCTTCCAAAATGAACAACTTCACATTTTCCCACATTATACTCCATTTTTTGCCCACTTACCCAACCTATCAATATCTGTCTGTAAACTGTCTGCATCCCTCTCACAACTTGCCTTTCCACTCATTTTTATACCTTCTGCAAATTTGGCTGCAGTTCGTTCACTTCCTTCTTCTGAGTCATTATTATATATTGTAAACCGTTGTGGTCTCAGTTCTGATCCCTGTGGAACCCCACTGATCATAGGTCATCAACTTTAGAAAGGATCCCTTATCCCACTCGTTGTTTCCTGCCCATTAGCCAAATCTCTGTCCATGCCACAACTAAAAGTGTAAATATTTTTAAAAGATGCCTATTAGTGCCTTGGCCTCTGAAAGCTGGAAACGTTTCTGAATGCTTGATAATTATTGAACATTATTCTTGTTGATTTATTCGTGGGAGGTGGTTGTCGCTGGCTGGGCCCAGCATTTATTGCCTGTCCCTAGTTGCCCCTTGAGAAGGTGGTGGTGAGCTGCCTTCTTGAACTACTGCAATATGTGCTGTAGATAGACCCACAATGTTGTTAGGGGGGATAATTCCACAAGTTTGGACTCAGGGACAGTAAAGCGACGCCAATATACTTCCAAATCAGGATGGGTGAGTGACTTGTAGGGGAACTTGCAGGCGTTGTTGTTCCCATGTGTCTGCTGCCCTTCTAGCTGGAAGTGGTTGAGGATTTGGAAAGTGCTGTCTGAAGATTTTTGGCGGAAGATGACTTCGATCTGGAGGCAGGGCCCATGTCTAGGGCCATGTGCTGAATGTGACCGCCTCCAGGCAGCTCTTCTGTTAGAGTGCTGCTGCAGGGAAGGTTTCCTAGTGGATGGTAGGAGCTGCTGCATGGTGCATGAATACTAGGCCATCATCCCAAACAAAGTTATGTTAGGGGAGGTGGTGGCATTATGGTATTGTCACTGGACTAACCACCCAGAACTCTCAGGCTAATATGCCAGGGACGGGAGTTTGAATCCTGCCGTGGCAGATGGTTAACATTTGGATTCACTGAAGCGCTAATCCAATGCTGGCTGCTGTCAAATGTTTAAAAATTCATCTGTTTCACTAAGGAAGGAAATCTGTCATTCTTACCCGGTCTGGCCTACATGTGACTCCAGACCCACAGTAATGTGGTTGATTTGTAACTCTTGTCTGAAATGGCACTAACAAGCCACTCAGCTCTAGGGCAATTAGGGATGGGTAATAAATGCTGGCCTAGTCAGTGTGGTCCACATCCCAGGAATTAATTTAAAAAAGACAGTTTCTCCTTACATCTCTGTGGAAGCCTTCCTAACAATGGAATGTGAGCAGTCAGTGATCGAGTTACTTCATGATCCCTGGATGTCAAGTTGTTTCATTTTTCTTCTTTCCCATCTCCCTGTTCTATCGGTTTAGACTCATTCTGCTTCAGGACTCCTTCCCCCGAATCTTCCAACGTCTGCAGAACTTACAAACGCAAGACTGAGTTTGAAAAATTTTCAATCAATCCACGCCTGCTCGTCCGTCGGCTCTCCCTGCGTGGCTGCATTCTGTCGCTGTTGGCCTTTGATCTTTACCTCAGTGTAAAAAAAAACACATCGAACCAGCTGTTTCTCAGCCTCCCGAGCTGAGGCTATTTGAATATCTAACCATAATGTTCAGACATTATGATTTGGAACGTGAGTCAGCTGCATCTGTTTCCGATTATGTTTATTCTTGTGCAGAAGAGGACACAAGAAGCCTTTACTTTCAACTATCCAGCTTATTTCACAGACTTATTACATAGTGAGAGAGATAAAAGGAGGGATGTAGAGAGAAAGAGAGATATAGAACAATGAACAGTACAACACAGGAATAGGCCCTTTGGCCCACCAAGACTGTGCTGACAAATGGTGCCTTTCTAAATTTTAACCTCTATGTGGTCCATATCCCTCTATTTGTTGCCTATTCAGTTATCTGTCAAGATGCCTCTTAAACATTGCTATTGTATCAGCCTCTACCATCTCCTCTGGCAGCACATTCCAGGCACTCATCACCCTCTGTATAAAACAAAATGCCACCCACATCTCCTTTAAACATTCCCCCTTCTACTTTAAACCTATGTCTCTGAGTAATTGACATTTCTACCCAGGCAAAAAGACTTTGACTATCCTTTGTACCCATGCCTGTCATAATTTTGTAAATTTCTATCAGTTTGACCCACATCCTTCAACATTCAAGAGAAAACAAACCAAGTTTGTCCAAACTCTCCTCATGGCTAATACCCTCCAAACCGGGCAACATCCTGGTAAACATTTTCTGTACTATCTCCAAAGTCTTCACATCCTTCCGGCAGTGCAGAGATCAGAACTGTACGCAATATTCCACATGTGGCCGAACTGAAATTCTATACAGCTGCAACATGACTTGCTAATTTTTATGCTCTCTGCTCCAATTGATGAAGGCATGCATGCAATATGCTTTCTTGATCTCCTTATCCACTGGTGATGCCACTTTCAGGGTACTGTGGACCTGTAAGCCTAGATCCATCAGTGTGTTGATGCTACTAAGGTAGGAATGGAGGTTAGATAGACCTTAGGTTTAGGGTAAAAGTTCAGCACAACATCGTGGGCCGAAGGGCCTGTACTGTGCTGTACTGTTCTATGTTCTATGTTCTACTAAGTGTTTTGCCATTAACTGTATAAAAGCTAGACAGGGAAACAGAAAGAGAGAGAGACTGAGAAATAGACAGATAGATACTTGGATAAATAGAACAATGAACAGCATGTGCTGGAGATCTGAAACAAAAACAGAAATTGCTGGAGAAAGTCACCAGGTCTGTTTCTCTGAACACGATAGATCACTCACTCGAAAAACTAATAACTCTGTTTTTGTCTCCATAGATGCTGCCAGACCTGCTGAGTTTCTCAAACAATTTCTGTTTTTGACACAAATAGATAGACAGACACAGAGTTGGACTGCCAGAGACATAAACTGATAGATGAATTGATACAGATGGACACGAGAGAGATAGAGATAAACAGAAACAAACAGATAGATAGATTTAGATATAATTAAGACTCCTAATTGCCCATGTTTGCAAAGTGGGTGCACTTAAGCTAAGTACAACCTATTACCAGATCTCATGGTCAGAGCACCTTCACTGATTACAGCTCTCTACTGAACAATTGCTCAGCCTGTGCTCTCGATGGCACTGCACACCAACTCAAGACATAATTCCTGTGTTTTTCTGGTTGTGAGTTATTTTTTTAACCAACTTCTTTAACCAACCTGTTCAGAGATGCTATTACACACCTCTGGAGCAGGTGGGATGTGAACTTGCACCTCCTGGTCCGGGGGTAGGGACACTACCACTGTGCCGCAAGAGGTCCCTACATTAAACTGATAACAACAGATAACTACACTCAGTCTTAGCCAAAAGGTCGGGAAGCGGTGATCTGTTCATGTACAATCCGGATGCCCCATTGGTCTATCTGCACATGCCCTGTAGTTCTACATCCTGTTTCAGACCCTCTACCTGGCAGAGAGACTGGTCCTTGATCTCTGTGCTGAGGTGCTCAGTGGCAGGTCTCAATGTTGGAGTCAGATGAGGGAAACAGGAAAGTGAGTGTAGTCCAGGGGTGATACTGCCCCTTGTGGCTGGGAGTGTAGGTTACGGAGGGGCAGTCAGACTCACACATTTGGGTTGTCCAAGGCCTGATAGATCAGGAAGACCTGGAGTCCCCTTATCCTCGCACTAGGTATGTCATTGCCATATCTTCATCGAGTTATATAGTTTTACATCACAGAAAGAGGCCCTTTGCCCAAGTGGCTCAGTGGTTAGCACTGCTGCCTCACAGTGCCAAGGACCCAGGTTTGATTCCACCCTCGGGCAACTGTCTGTGTGGGTGTGCTCTGGTTTCCTCCCACAGTTCAAAGATGTGCAGGTTAGGTGCATTGGCCATGCTAAATTGCCCGTAGTGTCCAGGGATGTGCAGGCTAAGGGGATTAGCCATGGGAAATGTGGGATTACAGGAATAGGGTCTGAGTAGGATATTCTTTGGAAGGTTGTTGAGGACTCAATGGGCCAAGTGGCCTGCTCCCACACTGTAGGGATTCTATGATTTTTTGGTCATCACATTCATGCCAGTCATAAAGCACCTAACTACTCTAGTCCCATTTCCCAGCACTTGGCCCGTAGCCGAGTCTGTTGTGGGGCTTCAAGTGATCATCTATGTCCTTTTTAAATGTTGTGATGATTCTCACATTTACCACCCTTTCAGCCGGTGAGTTCCAGAAACATCACACCCTCTGGGTGAATAAATTCTTCTTTAAACCGCCTCTAAACTTCCTGCCCTTTACCTTAAATCTCTATCTCCTGCTTATTGACCCCTGTCTGAGAGGAAAACATTTCTCCCTATGTACTCTGCCTATGCCCTTTGTAATTTTTTACACTTTGGTCAGGCATTGCCTTCGGTCTCCTCTGCTCTATGGAAAACAATCCCAAGCCTACCTAACCTCTCTTTGTAGCTGAAAGGGTCCATGCAACATCCTGGTGAATCTTCTCTGCATCCCTTCCAGTGCAATCACATCCTTCCTACAGTGTGGTGATCAGAACCGCGTGCAGTACTTCAGCTGTAGTCTTACTAATGCTATCTTCAGCTCCATCGTGACCTCCTTGATCTTGTCTTTATTAGTTGAGACATTGAATCCAAGTATTGCATTTGCGTTTGAGGATCTAAAGACATGCACATCAAGCTCCCTCTGATCCGATGTACTTCCTAAGGTCCTACCATTCAATGTATTCTCCCTTGCCTTGTTAGGCTTCCCAAAATGCAACATTTCACATGAACAGAATTAAAGTTCATTTAAAGTTTTAGCAAAGATCTGTAGCTCGGGTTTGTGGGTGAGGTGTTGACTTGCTCGCTGAGCTGGCTTGTTATCATTCAGATGTTTCGTCATCATGCTCACTGATGTTACCTAGCATGGTGACGAAACGTCTGAACGAGAACAAACCAGCTCGGCGAGCAAGTCAACAACCTCATTAAAGTTCATTTGCCACTGTTCAGACCATTTGACCAGCCCACCATTCTCAGCCTGTAACCGAACACAGGAAGAGAATCCACTTTGTCTGGAATTACCCGGGAGTGGTCCTCCACTGTGAATGGGCAGCATCCTCAGAGTCTAAGGGTTGTGATGTTCAAGTCTCAATCCGGAGGATTCAAAACCAAACCGAGGATCTGAGGGAGAGCCACACTGTCAGTGTGTGGGGGAGACATTACACTGAGCTGCTGCCTGTCCTGTCAGTTTGTAAACGGAGAGTGTTCTTTCTCTCCTTCCCTGTTTGGCTGGGTGAGGGAATGGTGAAGCAGTTCCTGACTGTTTGGGCTTACACCTGGGTGGAGTTCTCTGGATGGTACAGACAGGAGCCAGGCTACAATGCCCACTGCAAATCTTAACTTAGAGCCGTGCATGATGGCTCAGTGTGGGATGGGTACTGGAGGGGATATGGGTCTACGATCAGTGCCTTCGAGAGGAGAGGACATTGATGGAAGGATATCAGGGGGTGCAGTGTTGTGGGGAGTCCTATGGTGGGTTAACATCAGGCAGCAGGGTGCATTGCAGGATTGGTGCTATCTCAATGTCAGAGTCAGAGCGCTCTGAGTAACGTGAGAGTTGTGTGCACGGACTGTGCTCTGATGTGAGGAATGTGCAAACTCCACATAGACAGTTGCCTGAGGGTGGAATTGAACCTGACTCCCTAGGCACTTTGAGGCAGCAGTGCTAACCACTGAGCCACCGTACTACCTCCTCTATAGCAAAATCATGCTGCCTCAGATAAAGGGACCAAAACTGCACTTGAGCTGTGGCCTCACCTATACCCAGTGTACATGCAGCAAGACAATCCTTGTTCCTGTTCTCGAGTGCTCTCACTATGAAAGCCAACACACAGTCTGTCTTCTTTACTGCCTGCTGCACCTGCGTGCTTACTATCAGTGACTGGTGCATGAGGACACTCAGATCTTTTTGAACATTCACCTCTCTCAAATTACAGCCATACAAATAATAATCTACCTTGCTACTTTTGCTATCAAAGTGAAACTCCACATGAAACTGCATTTGCCCATTCGTTCAGCCTGTCCAAATCACCCTGCGACATCTCTGCATCCTCCTCTCAGCTCATCCTTCCACCCAGCTATGTGTCATATTCAAATTTTGAAATACTACATTTAGCTTCCTCATGTGAAAAAGACCCATTTATTCCTACTCCTTGTTTCCTATCTGCCAACCAATTTTCTACCCATTTCAATACAGTACCCTCAATCCCTTGTACTTTCAGTTTACATGTTAAACTCTTATGTATGATCAGTTGGGTCCTCTGCCGTTCTCACTGACTGAGTTACGAGTACACTGTCAATT